GGTTGAGTGATGAAGTAGTTTTGCAAAATCGGTGGAGTTCCCGTTTGTCTTTCCAGGTATTTTCCAGGGAAAGTGTTTTGAGTCAGAGGGGCTGAAATTTTAAGCAACAAATTTGACAACAAAATTGAAATGAAGGTGAAATGGTCAGAGATTCAAAATTTAGAGAAAAAAAAGAAAAAATTCCCACCCCCAAGACTTGAGGCTAGACTTGGACTCCCAGCGCAGAGACTTGAGGCTAGATTTGGACTCCCAATGCAGAGACTTGAGGCTAGATTTGACTCCCAATGCAGAGACCTGAGGCCAGACTTGACTCCCAATGCAGAGACTTGAGGCTAGATTTGACTCCCAATGCAGAGACTTGAGGCCAGACTTGACTCCCAATGCAGAGACTTGAGGCTAGATTTGACTCCTAATGCAGAGACTTGAGGCTAGGCTTGGATTCCTAATGAAGAGACTTGAGGCTAGGCTTGGATTCCTAATGAAGAGACTTGAGGCTAGACTTGGATTCCCAATTCAGAGACTTGAGGCTAGACTTGACTCCCAATGCAGAGACTTGAGGCCAGACTTGACTCCCAATGCAGAGACTTGAGGCTAGGCTTGACTCCCAATGCAGAGACTTGAGGCCAGACTTGACTCCCAATGCAGAGACTTGAGGCTAGACTTGGATTCCCAATGCAGAGACTTGGACTACCATCCCAGAGACTCAAGACTGGATTTGGACTCGCATTAAGCGACTCGTGAGCATCTCTGCACACAGAGTGAGCAGTGCTGGGTCTGTATTCAGATTGTCCTGTTATTGATCGAGTCGTGCAGATGACAGATGTGTGGAGCTGTTTCTGTCTAAGATCCTATTAAAACTCTAAAGGTTAGAGTGAGAGAGATAAACAGAGAGAGAAGGAGAGGTAGAAAGAAATAAAGAGAGAAAGAAAGAGGGGTCAGAATGAGAGAAAGAAAGTGAGAAGAACAAATGGGTGATAGGAGGAAAAACAACAGACAGAAAAAAGAGTAAAAGGGAGAGAGAAAAAGAAAAGAAAAAAGGTAATGACTGGCCGAAAATGAAAGAGACAAAAATAAAAGAAAGAAAAATAAAGAAGAAGGGATAGAAAGAGGAGGACTGACAGAAAGAATGAGATAGAGAGAGGAATAAAGAAAAGGACAGAAAAACAGAAATAAAGAGAAGGGGGGGAGGAAAGGGAGAGAAAAAAGAGAAGGAGAGCCAAGAAGAGAGGGATGGTGAAGGAGTGAGAGAAAAAAGGGCATGTTAGAGATGAGCAGGAGAGTCAGAGATGGAACTCCCTCTCAAAGAGAAAGAGAGACAAAGAGGCAGAGAGAGAGAGAGAGAGAGAGACACCCAAACACAGTGAGAGCTGAAGAGACAAAAAGACACAAACAAACTTTGAGAGAGATACAGAAAGTGAGAGACATAGAGACAAACAGTGAGAGAGACAGACAGGCACAGAGTTAGAGAGACTGACAGACAGACACTGAGAGTTAGAGACAGACAGAAAGAGAGAAAGACTGACAGAGAGAAAGACTGAGAAAGAGTGACAGACACAGAGAGGCAGACTAACAGACTGACACAGACAGAGTTGGAGACATACAGATAGACTCAGACTTAGAGACATACTGACAGAGTGACAGACAAACACAGTTACAGAGGGAAAGAGAGAGAGAGAGAGAGAAAAAGAGAGAGACTGGCAGACACAGTTAGAAACAGAGAGGTTGAGAGACAGAGAGAGGGACAGACAGACACTGAGAGTTAGAGACAGAGAGAGAGATACAGAGTAACAGACAGATGGACAGGCACAGAGTTAGAGACAGTGAGACAGACAGACACAGAGAGGCAGACCCAGTTAGAGACAGACAGACAGACACAGAGTTAGAGACAGACAGACAGATAGACAGAGTTAGAGACAGAGAGACAGACAGACACAGAGAGGCAGACCCAGTTAGAGACAGACAGACAGATAGACAGAGTTAGAGACAGAGAGACAGACAGACACAGAGAGGCAGACCCAGTTAGAGACAGACAGACAGACACAGAGTTAGAGACAGACAGACAGAGAGAGACAGACAGACACAGAGTTAGAGACAGAGGGAGAGAGATTGACAGACAGAGACAAAGACAGACAGAGGGATAGAAAGACAGACAGAGAGAGAGACAAAGAGAGAGTGACAGACACTGAGACAAAGAGAGAGACACAGAGAGAGTGACAGACAGACAGTTTGAGGTAGAGAATGAGAGAGAGAGAGATACAGAAAATGTGACAGACGCTGAGAAAGAGAGAGAGACTTTGAGACACAGAGAGAGAGAGAGAGAGAGAGAGAGAGAGTTTTTAATAGAACCCTCACACATGCTGAGTTATAGAGGTGCTGACTGAGTCTCACCATCAGGGTTTAATTATGCAGCTCAGGACAGAGCAGAACTGTATTATTTGTCTTTTGTCCCCTTTTCTCTCAGCCCCCCCCCTCCCTCTCTCTCTCTCTCTCTCTCTCTCTCTCTCTCTCTCTCTCTCTGTCGCTCTCTGACTCTGGCAGTATTGATCATCTGGGTGGGAGCTGGGGACAGTTGGGGGAAAAAAGGAAGAGAAAAGAAGGGAGGGGGTTTAAATCGATGGCACATTTCACGTCTAATGAGACACCTACGTTCTCTCCTCCGCCCTTAAAGGCCTTTATATTTCCCTATGACTTCAGTTTTTTATTGTACTCTCTCTCTCTCTCTCTCTCTCTCTCTCTCTCTCTCTCTCTCTCCCCCTCTCTCTCCCCCTCTCCCCCTCTGTCAGTGTGTTTCCACAAACAATAGAGGGTCGATCTGTCTTCCTCATTGATCCTCTTTGTTAGGGGAGGAAAGTATTGGCGAGTGAAAGTTCTGTCGTGGCTCCTGCGGCTCCCTCGACTCCAAGGCTTTAAAAAGTTATGGTTTCTGGACGGGTCGGATTTTTCTCAGATGGTTTTGCCGCTACTGCACAGGCTGCATTGGAGGGAGGGTTTCCTTTCTGAAGTTTACAGAAGTCTGAGGTCATTTGTCCACTGCACTGGCCACTGGTTTCAGTGTGAGAGAGATTAAAGGGCCCATATCCATCATTTTTCTTTGTTTTTTATCCCTTACACTGTTAAAAAATGAGAGGTCAGCTCAACTCAAAATGATATAGTAACTGATCACATGGCTTTTCTTGAGTTGACTCAACTTGAGGACACCAGAGTTCACACAACTCAAACTTTTTAGTTGAGTCAAAAGTTCTCTTAATTTTTTAGCTCTGCATCTCAGTTCAGTAAATAAAATGAACTTGTTTTTTATACTCATCTTCCCCACCAGCCAGGACTCATCACACAGTCCTGCTAGACATTCTTCCTCTTGGGTTCACACTTACGGATGGCTGTGGCATCACTGGGGCTCAAACTCACAACCTCCTGTTGGGGTGACGGCTTAGTTCACTGCACCACTCAGGAACACATGAAGCAGCTCAGATTTTGTGTCTACAAATGTTTAATACCATTTTATGGCGATCTGAACACATTCTGGGTGATGAGCCCAGCTGTCAGTCTGTGAAGCTTCATGATGGCTCCTGTGATGCTGGTGAAGATGAAGCTGAACTGAGGACTCAGTAAAGACTTTACGCACAAACTTACGCAAACCTGGTGCTGCCCAGACCTGGGGTCATGATATCTACAACAGAAATATAGCCATTTATTTTACTATAGAGAATGATTTTACCTCATGATGCCCTGCATGTATCTCTCTGCCATGAATGGGTTTAAAAAATGTTTTAGTCCAAAACCTTATCTTACAAAAATCTCTCAGGCATCAGGCACCATATTCATAACCTTTTTTTGTAATAACCTCCTGTGAGGGAGCTTTTAGAGGCGATAAACTCTGGTTCCTACCTCTGTTGTGAACCATTCTGACTCGGCTTTTTTCTCTAAAGCGGTGCATTTCACATCAAATCACTCTCGATGTGGTTTGTTTACATCTTAACGTCTTAGTTATGCAGAAATGTTAAAACACCAGTGTTTAAAATTCCCCTTTGATACATAATGTATTGCAGACAAGTCGCGGTGTAACTGCACTGTGAACGTACAGTGAGATATATTCTACAAACGTTGTCCATCGTGCTTGTTTTGTGTTTACAGCACATTTCTCAGTTTGGGGTCCATTGTGAACCACTTTGTTTCACGTGAGTCTCCTTTGTTGTAGCCGTGTTTTCATGTTTTCGGCTGTGATTTGTCGGTTTTCCTATAAACCCTTGTCAAAAAGTAGGAGGTTCTTGAGCAACAAAACTCAGCTGGATCCCTGGCAATAGATAGAAATCTGGGGCCGTATTACAGAAACTTCTTAAGAATTTATGGCAGAAGCTATTACAGAACAACAGTTCTTCAGTTGATAATCTCATCATTAACTCCAGATAGGAAAACAGTATCACACAAACATCCTAACTAGACAGAATTTCCTAGAAGCTGTCCTAACTTTAAGATAAACTCCAGATCTGTCTTAACTTCTGTTTTAACCATCCGTTTCTGTAGTTTTGTGCTGTATCAGGCAGCATAGTTCACTACCAGAGCCGCAATGCTCTGATAAACAGCAGGGGGCGCTGATACAACATCATTAACCGGAAAGTTGCCAGGTCGATCCCCTGAGCTGACAGTACGTGACTGAGGTGCCCTTGAGCAAGACACCTAACCCCCAACTGCCCCCCGGGTGCTGTGGATAGGGCTGCCCACTGCTCCGGGCAAGTGTGCTCACTGCCCCCTAGTGTGTGTGTGTGTTCACTACTGTGTATGTGGTGTTTCACTGCACAGATGGGTTAAAACGCGTAGGTGAAATTTCCCCGTTGTGGGATTAAAAAGGGTCACTTAATCTGTTCATCTGTTTATTTCTGTAAAATGTTAAATGAAAGCTTATTTAATTAAAAAGTTGGGGATGATGCCACCTCTTGATTTTGTGTAAATCTTTCAAAGCACGGTTCCATGGTCTGATATCTGGTGTGATGTTTGATTGACAGGTAAGGTGATCCTGGGTCCACCTCGACTGTACCAGGAACTGCAGGAGCTGCAGCATGACCTTTCAGTGGTGGAGCATGTGACGCTGCTGGTGGGCACCTTACAGGGCATGTACCAGGTAAACAAAATAATAAATAAACATATCCCACACCACTCGTCCATGCCTAAACACTGTAAAGCACCTTTAGTGCTTCGTCTAAAGCACAGATGCTCAGGAAAACCTGAATACCCCAGTATTTTGCCTCTCTGTGCTAGATTACTGCTGCTCCATTTGTTGTTCATAACCTATTAAGACACTGATGCCTAAAAAGAAGGAAGGAAGATGCTTTTGGTTTTTGTACACATGCTTTTCTACAAATGCTTACTTTAAAATGAAAATTTCCCTTCCGCCAATAAATGATGCAAAACGCAGCATCATTTAAAATACATAATGCAAAAAAAAGATCAAAGTTTAGAGAAGAAGGCAGAGAATATATCAATCAAAATAACAAAAGCCGTAGAAGCGAGGAGGCCTTTCAGGTAAGCCTCAAAGAGGCTCCTCAAAATGAAGATTTAAAGCGCGATTAAAATGTAATCAAAGATCGGGAAGCGAATGCTCAGATCATCAATTGATAATTGACGAAATCCGCTTGTTAGCAGCGCAACGGCGTTCGAGCGGCTCCTCTGCCGGAAGACGTCAGCCGGGAGACGGAGGAAAGCGAGCTCGGCTCAGCTCAAATCAGGGCGCCTCCCTTATGCCTTAACGAGCCTCCGTACCTCCGCTCAAAAATATTCAAATTGGGCCTCTCCTAATACCATCCAGACTGGGAAACACAATGCTGCAGTCGTTTCTGGTGCTGTACAGCTTCTCTTGGCCGTCCTCCAAATGACTGATTTTTACCCACAACCAGATCATCATAAAAATGTCCAGCGAACAGAAAAAGGGTGGGGGGGAGTAAAACTTTAGCGAGCCTCATCGATTCTGCAGAAGGATTCCATTGGATTTGGCTTCAGGGATGGAGGGAATAATTGTGCTTCTTGGAGAGAAGGTGGTGCTTCACTTTATTACTGTTTACATGTGGGAGCCTCAGAGTGTAGCCAGATCAACAAACACTGACTACAGCTACGGTTTTAGGTGTTTTATGGTGGAGAATCAAATTTATAGTCAGCCAAGACATGTTTAGTGTGCAGAGATTGCTTCTTTAGTTTTGGACTGGAGCTATTCTCACGTTTTGCATGACGTCACACTGAATAGTCACCGTCATTTTGAGGACCGAATCAGGAAGCGACTGCACTGCACGATGCTGTGCTTTGTGAATGATTCACCAGCAAGACGCGACAGAAGCCGAGAGACGAGAGACACACAGACCTTAATTCAGTGTTTTCACTCCAGGTTTGGAGCCGCTGCACTGTATAGTTTAGTGTTTCTCTGCTGTTCACACCTCGTTCAGCTCAAGAAGGGGTTAATTAGCTGATAATATCAGGTATTTTAACCAGGAAACCACAGTTATGCAGTGCAGGGGTTTCAGGACTGGAGCTGAACTCTGAACTAACTGAACTAGCAAACTTACAGAATCACGTCTGTCGAAACACAACGTTGTTTTCCGACCCACGACATTCAGTCTGATATTTAACGCTTTATGTATATTTATATTTATGTTTCTCCATTCAGACATCATTTAAATCAGAAACAGAGAGTGAAGTTATACCGGCTGTCTGCAGCTCCGTTAGGGGGCGACTGTTCATCTCTCGGCTGGTAACATCAGCTAAAGTTATCTAAAGGCCAGCATTGATCACATCTGTGTTAATTAGCTGATGTCGTTACCCTCCTATGATCACAGAGTGTTTCTCCTCTTTATGCAACACCACGGGGTCCTTTACCCACCCTGACGTGAAGAGCCGGTGGGCTTCTGTGCTTTTAAGGGCTTTGAGACTCTCCAGAATAGGAAGAGGGGCTGAGTTTGAGATCAGTATAAATGTCAGGAAAACACAGATTTGGTATCTTTTTGCCAGTTTAAGTGGGACCAGGAGTTCAGGGGAAACTGTATGAGGATCACAGCCTGTTTTATTGACACTGTTGAGGAAACGTTTTTCTCTTACAGAGTAAGGAGAGTGATTTCAGACATCTTTCACCTCTAGTTATGTTTGTGTGAAGGAGCGAAAGAAATTCGGTCCCAAATGTGGCAGCCACAACAGAAAAATCACAGGACTGAAACCATCAGATAAGACTAATGTAGCTAACAAACTTATAGTTACCATTAGCATTGCGTAAGCTACATGCCTAAATCATCAAACACTCGCCCCAAGCTGTGTCGGGTTGTTAAATAATATCAAATAGACTTGCTTATATGGTTCCTGGTATTGTTATCTATGAAAATTATAAGAGTTAACAGAAAGTTCACATACTGTTTCAGATACGTTTGTCCATTTTTTTTACATAACAGTGTCAGAAACCACATAAGCAGGGCTGTTTGAGATTATTTCCACCAGCTTTTTAAAACTCCAGCGTAATTCTGGGTTAAGATGTAAATTAAGTCATTCTGAGTGGTTTGATGTGAAACTTACAGACACAAATATCTTTACAATGGTGGTGATCAGAGTTGTGGGTCATGATGTTCATTCAAATGTAGCCTTTTTATTTACTATACAAAAACTTAAAATCTACACGTCTTCTAAGTGTTTATTTTTGTATTTAATGTTGATATTGAATGTGTATGTAGTGGTAAAATAGTGGAAATCTGAGAAGTTCTCTGAGGACGATTTTGCCTTATAACACCTTGCATGTACCTCTCTGCTACGGTTCTTGTGATTTTAAAAGATGTATTTTTGAGATAGAAACTGGAAATTAGTATAAAACAATGTCTCATTCATCATACAGTGTATTTCTAACCCATTTTGTGTAGTAACTTTCTGTGAGGGAGCTTTTAGAGGTGGACGTCTGGTTCCTATCACCACCACTGTGAACAATTCTGACTCAGTAAGTTTCTCTAGAACGGAGCGTTTCACACCAAACCACTCTGAATGACTCTGTTTACATCTTAATGATTTAATTATGCATACATTTTGATAATGGTTGATAATGGTTTAGATATTTAGTTTGCACAGTTCTAACAGTGACTATAAGCCTGTTTGCAAAGAAATTTCAGCTACCAGATGTGTCTTGCTGAACAACTACATTTACGTTGAGGGTAAAATTGAGATCTTAAAAACTATTCCTTTAAGACAGAACCTTGTTTGCTCACATAGTACTGTGCAAAATCAAAGATCACATTTTCTTGATTTAATTTCCAATCAAAAAGGCCTTTAAGTACAAGTTAATTTCTCAAGAGGTATTTCTGAGGAGATTAGATATAAGATAATCCAAATCAGTAAAAACAACAAGAGTTTCCAAAACTGTTTAACCCCTTGTGTGGTATTGGTGTGTTTGTTACTCAGTGGTCTGCTGGACCCACCACATTATTGTTGTTTTAAATCAATACAGCCATAACAATTTATGTAAAAATACCAGATGTTTAAAATATCACAAGTGTCCAGCGTAGGGTTCTCCTTTAGCAGCTGTAGCCAGTCAGCAGCCTGTCCATGTTGTCCACCCTCTCTCACACACACACACACACACACACACACACACACACACACACACACACACACACACTAACAGCAGGCCATGTAGGAGGAGAACAGAGTGAAGGACACAGCACCTCCACACTTGTACTCCCCACGGGTTCACCCAACACCACATGTGTAATATAAATGTGTGGGGTGAACAGAGTGAAGACACTGAAATGGGTTATTTTATATGTTCTTCACAGAAAATGAGGAAAGGAAAAGAATCTGAGGTTGAAATAATAATTGATTTCATCATTTCTTTCCTTTGGTAAACATTGAAAATGAGTTCCACAGACCTGAACACCACAGAAGGGTTAAATAAAATAAATAATTAAAATTTCTCTCTATAATAAAAAATGTAGAGAGAGTGGGACTCCTAACAACCATGCAAGAGCTGGTAGACCACCAAAACTGCCCCCATCAGATAAACAGCACTTAAAGCTTTCATCTCTGAGAGAGAGGAGAAAATCAAGCTGCTTCAGATCTGAAAACATCCACAGGTGTTTCTGTCCATCCTTCCACTGTGAGAAGACGACTCAGCGCTATGGGTCTGAAAGGATGTGTAGCTGATCAAGAAGAACCTCACTGAGAAAAGGAGACGGACACATCAAACAAAGAAGCTGAACAATGGACTGACCACCCCAGAGTCCAGACCTTAACACCACTCAATGTGTTTGGGATTATTTGGATTGTGAAAAGAGAAAATGCAACCAACTTCTAAGACTGAACTTTGGAGGTGTGGAGAAATATCCCTGCAGATTTCTTTGAAAAACTGATAGCAAGTCTCAAACAGAATTAAAGCTGGTTGATATTATATTTAGTTGTCGATGCTGTTATGTAACTTTTTGTTTGATATGTTTTCTGCTCTTTTCCTGATGCTGAACAATGAACTTATTGGCTGTCTTGACTGAAAATAAAATTAGTGTAGGGTCATCTCTGACGTGTTCATATGTGTGTTCTGTGTGAAGAACCTGAACACCACAGTGGCTCAGGATTGGTGCCAGGCCCTGCAGAGGCTCATCCGCATCAAAGAGGACCAAATCCAGAGCGCCAACAAGTGCCGGCTTCGTCTGCAGGTCCCCGGCAGGCCGGACAAGTGAGTAACCACCTTTGCAGCTTGGATCTGTAATTAAAGGGCTACATCATAGACACATCAGAGGCTACGTTCACATTACCAGGCTGAAGTGGCACAAATCTGATTTTTTGCCCTAATGTGACTCAGATCTGATGTTTTAAGAATTGTGTGGACACACAAATCTGATCTTTTCAAATCCGACCTGAGCCACTTTTGCCACATTCAAATTACAAGCCTTGTTGCTCAAATCTGATTATTTGCTCAAATCCGATCTCTCTGACACGATGGTTCACACTCGTTTAGGTAAGTGACTCAAATCAGTCATTACTGTGATGAACCAGCGTCCTGAAATGACCCTCATGAGCTCATCCTACTCAGTAACGTCACGTGAATCAATCACGAGCATCATCAGCACAAACTAACGAGCAGAACGAGCTTCGCTGAGAAGATAATTAACTCTGATCAGCTCTCAGCTTCATTATTAGAGCGAGACGAAGGAGAAAAAGGTGAGATGAGCTGCTTTTCCACCGTTTACAGGCTTTAACTTCTGTTAGAGCTGCCATGGTAACGCTGAATGATGGTCACGCGCAGTGGAAAAAAAAGCGCATGAATTCCGATCTGAGCATCACATTAAGGTCGCATGGCCACGAATCGGATACTTATCAGATCTAGGACCACATACCAATGTGACTCAGGTCGGATTTGAAAAGATCAGATTTGTGTGTCCACACAGTCCTGAAAACATCAGATCTGAGTATATAGCCTTTCATATGTCGTCCTAGATCGGATACATATCCGATTCGCAGCCATGCGACCTTAATGTGCCTTTTCTCCACTGCGCCATCATTCAGCGTTACCATGGCAGCAGCGCCGAACAGAAGTTAAAGCCTGTAAACGATGGAAAAGCAGCTCATCTCACCTTTTTCTCCTTCGTCTCGCTCTAATAATGAAGCTGAGAGCTGATCTGAGTTAATTATCTTCTCAGCGAAGCTCGTTCTGCTCGTTAGTTTGTGCTGATGATGCTTGTGATTCATTCACGTGACGTTACTGAGTAGGATGAGCTCATAAGGGTCATTTCAGGATGCCGGTTCGTCACATTAATGACAGATTTGAGTGTGAACCATCGTGTCAGAGAGATCGGATTTGAGCAACGAGGCTTGTCATGTGAACGTAGCCATACTGTTTGCCATGTATAGAAAATATGCTGCTCATTTTGAATTCATAAACACATTTACATATGAACACTAATTCAGCCTATAGTTTAGCCCACCTATTCACATCGTAAGTGATAAGGAGTGTTGTTACTGCAGACAGCCTGTAGCAGCCTAGAAGGAACAATATAGGGCAGCCTATCAGAGCAGAGGACATCTACATATATCAGTCTTAAAGGCACAGTAATAGAAAAGTCAGTTCAATTGAGGGAAAAAGGTGGGAGATAGCGGTTACATCCTGTTTAGGGATAATGTGAGGCTGGAAAATGGTCCTGTAAAATGATTAAGAGCTGACACCCATCAGTAGTATCATCATAGGCCCTTCAAATGTGTTTTTCAGTCAAAGGTTCTGGCCTCTGCACTCTCTATGGCCCTCATGATGCACTGCAGCAAAGCCAGCTCCTCATTTCAGTAATAAACCTCCGGCAGACTGTATGTTTTCTCTGAGAAGGCAGGCGATTGTGTGGGTTGCTGCTACATATGATCATGTTGAACATGCTTCAATACAAAACGTGCTGTAAATGACTTACGTAGGAGGTGTTGCATAAAACATTGTGGTAAATAGAGGAAGTGCAAGAGTCGCCCCAGTCCACTGAAGAATTAATTATGGTAATGATTTGTCTGGAGGAGTTTGATTACACAAATGAAGCAAATTATTTGTGCGAGTTTTAGAGTCGGCACTTTTGTTGCATGATCAAAGCACGCTGGAATTAAGAAATTCAGCAGTAGCGCACCAAAGCAGGAAGGGAAGAAATAGCACAAGAAGTACAAAGATGAAAATATCAAAATGGCAGAGAAATGATTTAAAATTATGAGTACAACATTAAGCAAAGGATCAAAGGAGAGTCCAGTAGAGTTTAAATGAGTATTAAGTGGACTTATTGGGGGGGGGCTTTATAGTGGGAACAGTTGCCTCAGAAATAAATCTTTATTGGCTCCCGAGTGGCGCAACCGTCTAAACGTTGGCCATATTATCAGGAGATTGTGAGTTCCATCCCCAGTGATGCTCCAAGAGAGCACCATTGGCCTTGAATTCAATTGTAATTGGCTTACAAAACCTTTTCCGTCTGGTCTGTTTAGTGAGTCTGGTCTGTTTAGGTGTGGTTGGAGTCCTCTGTTCTTCAGCACATGGATCTTAATCCACCAATTAGCATGTTTAGATGCTTCCACAGATTGTTTGCCGGGTTTACATTGATGAGTTCATGAACACATATCCAGTTAACCATGAAGAAAAGAAACCATGAGGAAAAAACAGTGGCTTTTTAGGTGCACACCAATAGAGAATCACACAGAGGAACACACATCAAAATATGTTTCTTTATTCAGAAAAAGCCGAGGGACATCGCTAGGTTTTCTCATCTTCAGTGGACGATGTGCCAACAGGTTAGAGAAATATACTTGAACTATTTGTGGGTGTAACATCAGCCTAGCCTATTTAGCGGTAAAGCTGTGCTATCTTTGCCTTCTCAGACGCATCCTTGACAACACGCCCTTTGCAGCGTGCTCATGTTAAGGCATTTGTGTTTCAGAGTAGACTAGTATAGCATAACATACTCGTAAACACAAGGGAAACGTTCACGTTTTACTGTTCTGAACATTAAATCAGCATTTCAATTGTTGATATGTGAACTTTCTCAGGATTCTTGTGAGAAAATACGTCAAACATTGACCTCAGTATTCGAATACTGGCACCTCGAACTGCTAAGTAAGTACTGAAGTACCCCTCCACATCCCTACTTTACTGCTCATATTTACCATCGTGTCACTAGTCCTGCAGTTAGCTGACGCGGGTAGCTCACGTTTGCCCAAATTACACATAAGAACAGGCATGGAAAACCTATATAGAGGAAATGTATAATTTAAATGCACCACATGTAATTAATTTGGTTTCTTAAAGACATAAAAGTAACCCAAGTTATGAAATTCTGATTAGATCAGTAACTTTAATGTGATAATCTTTCAAACCGTAATATTTTACACCACACATTACTGTAACGTGTTCCTTTGTACTGCGTTACCCCCAACCCTCGCAAATGCCACTCCAACGCATCCCAAAGGTATTTGATGGAGCTCCATCTCCAGAGAACGCAGTTGAGCTGGGGGGCTTTCTATCTCTCTTGCCAATGCTTGAGTGTGTTTACATGCACTTAATAATCCGAAAACTACAGAAAATCAGATTTTGTCAGTAATTAGTGCGTTTACATGCACTTGAGTAATCAGATAATGGGGAAACTCCAGGTCTGCATGAGTCAGACAGTAATTAGATTTCTGCTTTACAACCAGGCAATAAACTCACAGCCGCTTTACCTGAAAATATGAACACACATCATCTAGAAGATGAGAAATATTTAAATCCTTTATTTGGTTGAAATTGTAGTCAGTTTCAGAAGTGTTTTGCCGCGTCTCGCAGCAACACTGCTTGCTTATTTCCGGTACTGCCATAAAAACGGTGTGCTGTGATTTGTTTTTAGCCCTTTTCTTGTCAAAGTAGGTGGTCCTTGGCAATATTGAGCAATAAAACCCAGCTGGCAATAGTAGTAAATTATAGGCTGTAGTCTGCAAATCTATACACACTTATCTCAAAGGTATTGGATGGAGCTCCATCACTCCAGAGAACACAGTTCCACTGCTTCACAGCCCAATGCTGGTGGGGAGCTTTATACCCCTCCAGCTGATGCTTTTATTGGGCATGATGACCTTTGGCTATTCTATCGGCAGTGCTTTCCTGTGGAGATTATGCAAGCTGTTTTGCACAATTGAAAGCCTTGTAGCACGTCATGCGCTGCTCTGGGCTCAAGGAGGACGCTGGAGGCAGGGTTCAAGTTCGCAGCAGCCATTTTACTTGACTTCTCCTTCAAACGAACACAACATGAAAACAAACCAAGCAACAAAAGCTACGCTGGCCACTTTTCAGTGGCTTCAGAACTACAGACTTGTCAGTCCTATTTCTCCAAACTGAGCTTTTCAGCTCTTCAGTTGTTCTTCTGCTGCTGCTGCTCGTCCCTCTCTCTATCTGTTCCCTTTTTTGTGCCTGAGCCGAGTTGAGAGGGAAGGAGAGCTCGCTGCTCCGCCTTCCCGTCACCGCCCTCGCTCGGCAGCCCAGCAGCCTGGGTCGAACATGAGGCAAATTAAAGTGGCCTCACTGCGGGACCGGAGGCGACGCCCAGGAGACGGACTCAGGACTCGTGCACCGTCCCCCACTCACTCGCTGTTCTCTCCCGCCTTCCTGCCGGCTCTCGTGGCTGTCATCGGGGCCCGGGGGACAAACACATGCCATAGCCTTTATCAGTAAGAGTGCAGCAGTAAAGTAACTGGGTTAAGTAATTATTAGGTGTGTCTACATACTTTTGTCCATGCTTTAGTATTTAATGTTTAGAAATAGCCCAAACATTTTTTTTGTACCAAAAATAAGTGCAGTCCTTATTGATATAAATTGATTCTGATTCAATTCCAAAATCATTGCAGCTGACTTGTCACCTTTAGACTGACGCATCGATGTATTTCCACGCTCTTCCTTCGCTCCCATTGAGATGCACAGAAGCCCAGGCTATTCAGCTTCTCTCCCAGCACTTAATTCATGAAGTGCTATTTGATGAATTCCCCTCATCCGTTTCCCTGAGCGGGTCCGTCCCGGGCGGCACTAAAAGATAATAGCCGGCGACAAACATTTTAATGCACGCCCAAGGCAGCATTACGATGATGGAGGATCCGGATACCATGTTCACTTTTACTCCGCCAAAGTATATTACCTAGCATTGCATGTTCTGAGCGTTAAAAGCACGCTCTCCACAACCTATAGCAGCGCTCAGT